CGTTGGGCCGCCGGTCGTCGGCGGCGGATGACCCTGAGACGGGCTGACCGAGGTGGTAGGACTTCCTGGTGGCCTAACCACCGCGCTGGTCACCGCCATCCTCGCGTTCGACAGACCGGCAGCTACGCCCAAGGGATGATTCGTGGTGGTGGCCGCTACGCTGACCAACGACGAACCGCCTGCGCTCAGGATCGCACCGGACACCGGCGAGGCCGATGAGGACGTCAACGACGAGCTCGCTGTCACAGGACACTGCAACACCAGGTCGAGTCGTTTTCACGTTAGGTTACCGCTGTTGAAACAAGCCGAGAAGGAGATTCAGACATGGCCATCGTACATTCGGATCTATACTACGCTGGATAATTAGTTCTTAACCGAGAAGGAGGGAGCCATAAAAATTTTTGATGCGGTGATACGCAGACACATCGTATCAATATTAGTTACCGATAAATAATGAAATGAAAGTGAAAGAGTAAAATTAAATTTCACTTGTCACTGTCTCAGTGGCCACCGTCCAAGCGTATAGGTGTTGCGAGAGTATTCCAATGTTAGACCGTAATACTTCGAGAGACGTGCACACATGTTTCGATGTATTATTGAATGGCACGCGTAGTTATTTGAATGACGCACATTATCCACTTCATTAAAAAAAAGAGGGAATAACGTGTCACTACAAAGTTAGCTGTAAACACGTAAGGCTCGTAGAAGTTTTGAATATTCTCCGGGCACATATCGCAATCTAAACACGAATGTTTGCATTACATCGTATCGCTATGAAACGTACATACGTCAAACAGGGAGAAGGATAACTTTCGTATCTGCGCGAAAACAAGATGTTACGTCTTTTAACGAAATCGTTCTCTGACGGACGCTTAAATACCGACACGTTTCGTTTCACGCTATTTGCTTCAAATTCTTGGTGACTAGGCACAGACTGGTCTCTCGGCAAACACAACTCTGAACCAGAGAGAATACATTTATGTTCCATGGATCTTCCCTCCCTTTTCTCTTTACCTTCTCGCGTTACACGCTATCTGCTCCCCATTTTCCCTCTATTTTTTATTCCGTGTTTAACATTTAGTTCGACTAGATCCATGATTTATGTTCTACTTAGCGATGGCTTCAAGTGCTTCGTAGATTCAAATTAGTAACTATGAGGCTTTCAAAATACTTAGAAACGTGTGTTATTAAAATTTTAAATGAATAATGCGAATTTCTTAATGTCTAATGACTAACGTCTTTTGGATTATCACATCATGTTTGTATGTGGATAATTTTATTTAGACTTTGAGTAACTTAGACGCTTTGAATAAGAAATTTTCCCAGTACAGAACTTGTTCTCGAAATTGTCCAAAGTATCCGAAAATAGTTTAAAGTTTTAACCCTGCGAAACTTCAGGTCGAACGCCGTGCCATCGCTAACTACGTTCCAGTAACACGATGTACTATCATGGATCACCGATTACGAAATTACGGAAAACTAGTCGATGTTTCTGCGCTTGTATACGCTCGCCTGACAGGCGAGTACACGCGTTACATCTCACTCGACCGTGCTGGGTACACACGCGGTTCCACATTAACATAGTCAAAGTTTACTTTCGACGAGGCTACCGTGTCGTTCTCTTCGTCGAAGATTCGCTGACTATGTCGACCGACGCGTTCCTCTAATCGCCATCTCCTCCGATTGCAAGGGCACAGTCTGAAGCGATCTAATGCCACACTGGTATTTTTCAGCAATGCGAATCACGAAAGAATTTAACGAATCGTATTATGTAGAATAGGTCTTAAGAAAAATGGCGATGTAAGGAAGTTGATTTATTTCGCATTCCACGCGGCCATTTTGTATAGGGGAAGTCATTCTACCGATACTTAGCTAAGACTGACTACCTATCAACCGAGAGTGATTTCTCAGCGTAATGTTTGCTCGCACACAGGTTTAGTTCCCGAGTGAACACGTACTCTAACCTAGATTATCGATGAACATGATTCAAGATCTGTTCGACGTTTCAGCAGCTGTTTAAGAATGAATTAATGGACGTCGATCGGTAGAAAATCGATCGAAAGCGTTATGAAACACGGACTACGAGATACCTCGTGTTCGGTTGCAAGTCCGGTCCGTTTACCGTTTCTTTGAAACGGGGGCGGTTAATGTCGATTCTCTGACAGGCAGTTTTGACTTGTTTTACAAATACATTCTGGAAGTTGGACATTACATGGTTGAAAAACGTTAAAAATTCCACAGCGAATACCTCGGAGAACTCGAACCGTCCACGCGGTAGCCGTTGCGTATGCCAGTGTAATTTGAGCGACGTTATCGAAACACGAGAATAAACGACGCAAGATTTCCATATTAATCGAACAACTTTCTCCACAGACGAATGAAAATCGTCGTGGCACGTCGTACTCGCCGAGTGATGAGGATAAGACTGCTTTCGGGAATGATGATGGTGAAAACGAATTTTGGATCTCGTTGCAGATTCTTGTGCAAACGTAAATTCTGGTTTAACCTTGCAGAGTTTTTATTCTTTTGATCTTGGTCAAACGGGTAACGCTGAAGATACAGGTGTGTTAATTACCAACGTTGCAGATAGTTGCAATAATAGCCAGCTGAATTTCACCGAGAAAGTAATTGCAACTTGTACATCGTTTTCATCACATTCGAAGTGAATAATCACCCATTTCGGACACTTTATAATTCAAGTAATCTTTTAAAACTTTTTTCATTGAACGCTGCAACGTCCAAAATTGGCAAATTCCGTCTATCGCGAACAATCGTCTCACGCTTAAACGAGCACCTGCCGAACCGATCATTTCCGATTTAGGAAACAATAAACGCCTCTGGTGACGCGTTATAATCGGCCAGCAGAATCGGCAGAGCAGCTGCGCGAAAGAAACGCGCAACCAAAGGGAGCCGAAAGGACTTTCCAGCAGCGTGAAAAAGGCAAAGGCAACTGCCACTAAATCGTCGCGGTCTCTGATTCTCCCCTTTTTCTCTATCCAGGAAGGTAAACCGAGAATCAGGCCCGTACATAATACCAAGGGGTGCTCATTAATTCCATATCAAACAGCACGGCTAAATAGATTAGCGGGTTGAGTGGCTTTCGCGCCCCGTAGCCTAAACAAACCCCCGTTCGAACCTCCCTGCAGGGTCGTGCGAGCCTCCCGACCATCCCATCCGTCCACATCCATCCATCCATCCATCTATCCGTCCGTCGCCTCGTTTCGATGGCCCCGAACATATTGTCGAAAGCCAGCCGGGCATTGTGTCGCTACGAAAAACGTGACCCACCGCGCATTATGGCATCGAGAGCGGCGTTAATGCGTGTCCCGGTTCCGCTTTTGCCTCTCTTCTCCCTCGATTCTAGCTCCAACTGCCTGCAGTTGGATCACGATTCGTGCACTACTGTATATACATATATACACACGTTGCGACCCTGTTCGCTGTTCGACCGTTGTCGTTCGAGGCTGATCGACGATAAAACTCGGTTTGATAGCACGCCAGGATGCGTGAGCTGTAACGATAGACTGATGTTCGAATTGGGATGTCGCTCTAAAGATTCTTGGTAGAAGTCTACTTTTAGTTTGCGAAAAAAGATCACACGTTCAATTAGGATTTTGTAGATCTGCGTTGAGTGTGATTTAGATGTCTCCGACTTGGAACTTGGTTAGTTTCAAGGGAATACAAGTTGGGTACATAGGAATCGGATACCTAGAAGCTGGATACCAAGAGAGTTCGATACAACCAGACTGAGTGTATAGGATGAGTAAGAATGCCACAGATTTGAGAGCAGAGGCATACATTGAAATGCCAGAAGAAAATTTTTCGACATCTACCATTCCCCCCAGAGGGTCTTAATTTTCCCGAACCCCAAAATTAAAATTCCGGTCTTAGCACGGTCGAACGACCCTCAGGCACAGTTAGCGGCAATAATCGTATCGTAATGCACAGCATGGTACGTGACGATGGCTTCAGCTTCCGTTGAAGCCCATGTGCCTCGAAGGAGAAATCGTGGTGGCGGCAATTAGCATGGTCGTGGAACAAACGAGCCAGCGTATCGGGCTAATGCTTCGATATATCGATCCCCAGGCGTACGAATAATTATCGTTCTCCGTCTGGTAGCGAACGACGAGGAGAGAGGGCCAGACTCGGAGGATCTCGTTGGATCGTACACGAGGCGCTACCTTGAACGCTACTTTAAAGGCGACGCAAGCAACACCACGGGTCCAGGGTGATATAGTTGCCGGTCTGGGTTGCACGGTTGCGAGCGGCGTGCTACAGCATCTTCTCGATGCGATCGCGTGAAGTAACTCAGGGACTGCCGGCTGGCTTCTTCTCGGGACCTTAGGACTGAATTATGGCCCGTGGCACCGGACACTCGCCAACACGCTTCGTCGTTTAACCCCTTGCCCGATCCCGAGCCCCGAAGCGCATTCTTGCTGTCCTCCGCTTTTCTCGCGGACTCGTGGAATCTTACGATTCCTGGTGAGAACGTTCTCTTTGCAGTATATCTGCCCCCTTGCTTTCGCGCTGTCCGCGTTCAACGTAGCTTTTCTCTTTGCGATCGCAACGTTGTTTCGCTATAAAGTAGCTCCAGGGGCAGAAACCTACTTCTAGCTTATCCCCTACTTCTAAAGAACCGTTTTGAGCCGAATGACACTCTTCGCGTTCGATTGTTACAGAAAATTCGTCTCGAGTCCTTACACGATCGGTGGTCATGCTCGTTGTCTCGCATACCTGTACGACCCCACGAAAAACCGATACGTCGTGCTCTTAGGGAGTCGACGATGAATGATCGATAGACGTCCGATCCTCGTTGACAGAAAAAACTGGAAGTCCTCGGGTTGAAACGGTTGTGGCTGCCAGCTAGAGAAACCAGTACCTCTTTTCTTCTCCCTCTTGGAACGTACGGCCACGATCAGCCTCCGCTACACGCGTTTTATGACGCGATTTATATGCACAATGTAACAGTCGCGTCGACGTGGGAACACGTTACGTCGCGATCTCGTGTCGTTCCTTTCTTCTGCTCGTACCGACAAGAACTGTCCCTTCTTCTCTCTCGCTGTTCTTCCAGCGACGAACGCTCGCGGAGCTAAGGTCCAGAATAAAGACACGCGATCTCGATGGTAAAGATTGTCCGATGGTTTTTTGGTAGCGCCGGACGGTGTCGCTGAATTCGTTCGAATTTATTGGTTACCGTATTCAGTAAGGAAATTGTCTCCAACGCGTTTACCGTCTCTCCTTATTCTCGAGAAGTGGAAAAACTAACAGGTCTTGTTCGCAACGTTTCAGAAC